CTACTGACTTTATGACTAGGTTAGGTTTCGTGAAAATTGCACTTCCATATTTTTTATGTGGTAATTCTAATGCTATTTGCATGCCATTGATTTTTGGGCGGTTGTCATTTATATCTCTATGTGTTTCTTAGATGCAGAGTACATCACACTTCCATTCAGCACATAGTTCTGATAGTACTATTTCTTTGGGACTAGATAGTCCTTCGATGTTTATTGACATAACTGTCAGCGCTGGGTGGCCCTGAGAAAGGCCATTTTGGGTAAGCATCTTTATTCGCTCGGTGGTGGTGAGATTAGTTATAGCGACATGTCCAGGTCTGGATTACATCGCTATGCAGGGGACGCCACGTGCAGGCTCTCACCATGTCCCCCCTATACTATATTACCATAGCAACCATATATATATATATTATTTTGAGATTTCCGTCTGTGAGTGTCTTCATATTACCATGGCAACCAATTAAATATTATTTTGAAATTTCCGTTGGAATGTTTTATATATAAATGGTTGCCATGGTGATCTGTATAACATATATATTCATATAGAGTTGTCAATTTTAATGGGCAACGTAGTGCACGGGATCAAATATTTTTATATATATAGATAGATTAGACCTCTGGGCAGAAGATAGGCTAATTTAAAAAGGAAGAGGACCAACACCGGGACGTGCTCAAACAGGGATTTTGAGATTTCCGATGGAAATCTTTGTTATACATGGCATATGGTTGCCGTGGGTTTCAAAGCTATAATAATAATAATAATTGGTTTCAATTTGTTGTTATGGTAACCGTTATATTATACAAAAAAAACATATTATTAATTTAATAGCGTTAGTATTTTTAATGGGCAAAGAATTGCACGGGATCAGCTAGTATTTCATAAAATAATAAATTAATATTTATAAAAAAATCTATACTTGATAAAAAATCGTATTCTATATTTCTATTTTAATCTATGTGTATTAAAAACTAAGTAGAATAAAAAAAAATAAGATAGAATATAAAAGACAATTCTATGGAAAAAAAAAATTATTTGCAAAAATAAAGCACGGAAAATACAATTTTGATTTGCAAATTCTAAAAACCAATTTTCAATTATTTGCAATTAATTTGCTAAATATTGGCGTTGGTTTAAAGTGAATCCGTCAAAGTGGGGGGATTAACTTCATGGTCACTATAAAAGTTGAACATTTTATAAATTTTTAACTATACAAAATAATTATTATATTTTAGATTTTGTCAAAATTCGATCTTTAAATGCTTATAAAAAAAAGTTGTGTCTATGTATTTTTAATATTTTTCAACTGATAATGTAACAATATATCAGGAGCCTTGTATTACATTTTTACGCTTTTTGGCTCAACAGATAAAATTTTATCGATATTTATAGAAAAAAAAACTAAAAAAATTGAAAACTGAAAATGTCTGTAAACCACTTAAAAAAAGTCAAATTATTTTCAAAATGATATCTTATATAGAAAATACTAATATAAACATTCAGAAAATTTTATCAAGTATAAGAATTGATAAAATACACATTCAGTGAAATTATCAAGTATCTACAGTCATGCATTTTTTAATTACAACAAAATAAGAAAGTCATTACATGAGAAATCGAGTAAATATCAAATGTAGTAAAAAAATGAATTTCAAACTCTCATAAAAATTTAATTTGACTTTCTTGTAGACATTTTTTTTTTTTATAAGGTAGACAAATGTGTGAGGAATCTTGTGTTACATTTTAAAATCTTAATTTTAAAAATATTTTTTTATGAATTTCTAACTCAAAATATTTTTGGAAATTTTCGTCATTTTTACGTATTTTGTCAATATTTGAACTTTAAATGCTTATAAAAAAAATTGTGACTATGAATTTTTAATGTTTTTCATCTGTCTTTGAAACAATATATTAGGAGCCTTCTATTAAATTTTTAAGATTTTGTACTCAACAATTAATAATTGTTGACATGAAAACAAAATAGACTGAGACAGTGAAATATAATAAATTTAAAAACAAAATAAATTAACCTTACTTACTTCTTAAAATGAAAAATTAATTTGTTAATTTCACGTCAATTAAAAAAGAAATTTAGTAACTTAACAGTTAAGTTAATGAAAAGTTAAAAGTAACTAGTTAAATTAAAAAGTTAAAGTGATATTAACTTTTTAGCTTACCTTTAACTTATTAACTCGTTAATGCCCAGCCTTGGATATTACCTCGAACCTATTTGAAAATTTTATTAAAATATTTAAAATAAAAAGTAAATAGGTAGGTACGTTTTGAATTTAAAATGTATTTTACGACTGGATCAACATTATTTACCTGCTTAGAAAATATATTACGAGATTTCTAAAAAAAATTGAAAATAAACTACATAACTTAAATAAATATTTTCAACAATCAAAATATTTCTAAAAATCAGATTTACAAATTATTAGATATTTTTAATTTAAAAAAAATTTACTTATAACAAATTTGAAATTGTTTGATTTCATTATTAAAAATTTAGTATTATAGGTTTGTTTAACTCAAAAATATTGATTAAAATTTAGAACAAAAGTTATTTTATTTGTCAGGTCTTTATTTTACATCCTGTATAAAGAGGTAAAATGTGTTTATAAGTAGAAGGTACTTATCGCTGTAATTACTAAACAGATTCTAAAAATTATTTCGGTAATAGTTGATTTCACCATCCCTGAGCAACATGGTTTATAGTAAACTACGGAATTCAACAACTAGACTATTAGGTGACACATGAATTTTGTTTCAGTAAACAAAAATCAAATATTTTTTTTATTTAAATAGAGGGTTGACGTTGGTCATAGAAAACCAAATAGTTATTGTGATTAGATATAATTTTTTTTTGGAAACTTGATATAAATATAAGTGGAGGAAATTTATTATGAAAACCCTTGCTTCTTTCCGGGAGATTATATGACTGTTCTAATAGTGTAGGCACTCCTAAAAATGAGTATATGTTCTTAAAATTAGTCCATTGTTTACTAACTCAGGGGTTCCCAAATTTCTTTTGGCTTGTGGTCCCTTATTTGAACCAATGTTTCCTCAGGGCACCCTTCCCCAAGTCATATCATGACTAATTATAAATAATAGAAAAATGAGATAAAAACCAATACAATTGTGATGGGTAATATTGAAATATTTATTTAATTAAAATTATGCATAATTAATTCATTTTTATTTACATAATCGTAATTTTTTTTATCACCACAGTTAGGCTTTCAAATTTATTTTTGGTCCATATTCTTCGGCAGACGTGGCGGTCCACCAGGGCACCGCGGTACACAATTTGAGAACCACTTACTAAATAACTACATACTTTTGGTTATCACTTATCACTTTTCATCAAAACTGTAGAAGTTTCTTTTAATACAACTATTGAGTATTGACTTATTCATATGTTTAGCTTCTACTAATATAATGTAACATATTATTATAATTTTTATCAAAATATACAAATAGCATATATATCACTACAATCCCTGGCGTAGTTATGTTGTTTTCTTTAAATATATATTTCACAGATTTTCCACAAAGTTCAATGACAGTGACAATGGATAAGCGTATTGTCGTCTGTAAAGTGAAACCATTACAATCAGGGGAGCATATTCTGTTGCAAGTATTTTATATAAATATTTGATGAATTCAGATCATTGAACATGTGATATACGTATAGGTCCGAATTTAGAGGGTCAACGGTTCTGTGTTACCCCTAGGTTGTGGCAAGTTTTTGTTAGACCAGTAAAATGAAAGTAAATTGCATCTTATTTATTTAAATTTTTTTATGTGAAATAAAAGGCGTTACCGCGTCAATAGTCTACATTTGATTACAAAAAAATATTGATAGTCTTAAGCATAATATGTTTGCACATTTCTCAAAAATGAGTAGAAAATATGAGAAAATATGTATGTATATATATGTATGTATTTAAGAGAAAACAACACCACTTCGAAAGGAAAGGTACACAAATAACTATTTATACAGTTATAGACATATATTTCAGCTCCCGATGTCTTAAAAAAAATACAGAATGCTTCATTGGGTAAGTTATTAAACATTTTTTATCATAAATAACAGAAAAAATTAAGTGTTCCGGCGAGGAAAATAAATAACAGTGGACTGTATAATTTGGTAATTGGTTTTATTTGCTAAGTAAATAAATTATTATAATTTATAGGTTGCTTGAAGTCTCTGTGCAAGTCTGCCTGGGTAGGTCTTGCTTCAGAGGCTCCGTTGAACACACTGCCCGTTTCGTGCTCTGCACTGGCATTTATACCCTAGTCTCGCTCGCAGGAGCCGCCCATGAAATGTCTGTGGTTGGTGATTGGGCGGGGTTGAATGGCGGCGATAACGCTGGTTGGCCGCTGCTGCTCTCGAAGCCACGCCCACAGCGTTCTGTCGTCGTTTGCTTATTTATTAATTTTTTGACGAATACGCGGGTCATCAATAAGATTCGTTTGAGCAATTATGTAACTGTACATTATTGCAACCGGTGTCCCTTGTGACCGAACCGATCTGACCCGCGCCGTACATAATATATAGATCCGGCCGATACAGTCGTTTGTCTCCCGACGTCAAATGTGCTTGGTGCAACATTTTATTCGTGACGAACGACTCACGATAGTGCCGACCGACTGTATTCCGGATCTCATCATATTATGCACACAACTAGTTGGCTGACTGCCCAGTGTGATGTCAGTTTTACATAAATATAATAGCATTAAGAAATATAGAATAGATACTTCGCGTGGCGTGAACATTAAGAATAAAACAATTGTCTACCCTATAGCGATAGTATTATTAAAAATAACTTAAAACATTAAACTTAATCAAATAATGTGTGTAAAATAATAAATTAATCAAGTACTTGATCTAATAAATAAATAATAATAATTACCTATATGTTTATTCAGTTAAATAAGATAATATATTTAATATATCTACTCTCATTCTCTACTTTTAACTAAGCTACGTAGGTATATGGTATTTCTGATCCATTACTATCCTGGTTTAGTTCCGGATAGAACCCAACAAGTTAAGATCAATGTTTTTTTGTCAGATCCTTTTCCAGTTCCTACAGGTGTCCCCCAGGGTAGTCACATTTCTTCCTTGCTGTTTACCATATTTATTATTTATGTTGGTTCATGTTTTAGATACTGTGATCACTTATTTTTCACGGATGACATCAAATTATCCGCTACTGTTTTTTCACCCGTAGACTGTTCTCGTATTCAATCAGATCTGGATAACTTGTTTGTTTGGTGCCTTGATAACGGTCTGAAACTAAACACTTCTAAATGTTTGAAAATATCTTACACCCGTTCACGGATTAAAATAGACCATGACTATTATATCCACGATGAAAAATTAGTTGAACCTTCTTTTTCCTATCACATTGAAAAATCATGCGCTAAAGCTTTAAAAGTACTTGGCTTCTTAGTCAAAAGTGCTCAGGAGTTTAATAATGAATTATGCCTCCAAACTTTATATGAATCACTAGTCAGACCTCTCTTAGAGTTTTGTTCGGTCTTATGGAACCTATCACAAATTTCTATAATATAGAATCACTTGAGCATGTGCAAAGACGTTTCATGCAGTTCATTGGTTATAAGTGACGTCTTGGCCTAGATCCTAATTTTTCTAGTTCTGCTTTAACTTCCATTCAAGCCAGCCTTAATTTGGTATCTATCGTTACTAGACGTAAGTTAATTGATGTATCCTTTCTTGCTAAAATTATAAGAGGTACCATTGACTGCTCAGACCTACTACACCTTCTTAATTTTCATATCCCCACTTTAAATTCTCAGTCCATTCCTACATTCGTAATTCCGTTCTACCATACTTCTTACGGCGCTAATAATACCCTATTGACCGAATATCTCGTATACTTAACCGGCTAAATAATTATATGTTAATTTAATGTTATCTAAGTGCACTGTTTAATGTAACTCTTTGTTTAATTCAAATTTTTATATAGTACCTATCTTTATTGTTTATGTTATTTTTTTTCTGAATTATATAATTTGTATTAATTCTCTGAATCGATGATTCATTCTCTGTCATTTTATATTTTATGTTGTACTGTACTTGAGCCTTTGGACGTTTACTCAATAAATAAATAAATAAATATTCAAGTTCTGGCTGTTTTGTGTGAGATTCGCTATGATGTTATAATAATTATATTTTTATTCTTTGATTTTTTGTTAATCTAAACAATTATTATCAGATTATAATAATGTATAATAATGTTACAATTCGACATTTTATTTTATTCTTCATCTAAATAACAACAGTACCTAAGGCCATATTAGTCTACATTAAAAATTTTACAATTTCCATTTTATTTAAAATATTTATTAGGCTTCAATCAAGTTTTATAATTTAATTCCTTTATTTCCTAATAATATTATCATTGGATGTGAAACTGAAAATTGACCTTCTTGTATGGTTCTTAACTGTATATATTGTTCAGAAAACTATTTCAATATTTAAAGGGATCGGTATCGGACAGTTATTTTAGCCAAAACATAATAATCTTTATTCCATCATACTTATCGTCGATCGACCTAGTAATGTGGTAATACTTTTTTAAATTTGATTTGAATTTTTTATTGTGTCTACTTGATATCGGTCATTGGTCAGTATACTTTTTTCAATTTTTCAAGACCACCCCTCCCCAAACCAAAAAAACTATATATTTAGTTTGAATATTTTTAAATTTCGGAATTTTCAAACGTTAATATTATTGGGAATTTAAATCAGAAATCTTAAAATGTGGATTGACCGATCTCAAGTAGACATTATAACGAATTCAGATCAGTTTTCTGAAATCATGATCGCATTATTGGGTCGATCAGTAAAATGGAACAATTAAGTACATACAGTCATACAAATGAGCCAGTGGCGTGGTGTGGGTATTAAAAGGATGTAAGCAGTGAAAATTTTGTTTCAAAAGTGATTAGAATATAGGTACTATACTTAAATACCTAATTATAAATTATGTATAAAAAATGTTATCCTTTTAACATTTTTAATATTTTTAAAAATATACTAGTTGTACAAATCAAATTCAAGAAAATAAATAAATTGAAGTATAAATACTTCAAAAGTCTATTAGGCGAATGACAGTGACAGTGTAGTGTGTACGTAAAAACGACTACAGTCTACAACGCGTCGGGCTACGTACTGCCGTACTGGTCCGTGGTCGCTCCTTGTTTCTCGCGTAAGCAAAATCAAATGTGCTTACAAACGCTAATTAAATACGTGACCCCCACTATGGCATTATAGACTATTCGAAAACAACAGTTGCACGTAAGCAATTTCAGAATGTGTTACACTGTATATCGTATTATGATTATGCAGTTAACATAATACAGAATGGATTAAAAATAGACCTACAATCGATGATTTTCTTAAAATAGTTGGTAATCAGTAGACAGCGTACGACACATATAAACAATAACAAAAACCACTACCAGCTATAACTTAAATATTTTATAAATAAAATTAAAATTTTAAAAATCATTTATTATGTACCTATTAGTCGTGATTGATTAAATTAATTTTTTCTTTCATTTAAAGTGTAAGCAGTGCTTACAGTGCTTACATGCACGCTACGCCCCTGAAATGAGCACAAATTGTTTACCGTTCACGGGAGCAACGACGCGGCAGTGACTTGTATATGCACGTGCGGGAACGGTCCATATAATATGTTTATATATTATACACAATCACGCACACTATAATGATCACTTACTAAGCACACATTTACAAAACTCGCATGCATGCAATTTGAAAATTGCCCAATTCGAACTCCTTAAAATCTGTTCACCACTGATCGCTTTGATATTAGTTACATAGGTGATAGGTATTTAAATAATTATAACTATTAAGTACCTAACTAAAATATTATTCAAATTAAATACATTTTATTTTAGAAAACTCTAACTCGCCTCTTCCCAGTGACTTTAAATTTGATTTTAAGTTATTTATTCTTTATTAGATAAAATGGAATCCAAGAAAGATGATACTTCGATTAGTGGTTGTTCAAGTAAGTCAGTTTTTGTACGTATAAATAATTTTAAAAAGTGTATAAGTTATAAAATATTAATCTTGATACATACATACATATACATACATATACATACATACATACATACATAACATGATGTCTGAAGTTACCCAATTATAGAAAACTCACCACCTCCCTGTTACTTTTAATTTGATTTTAAGTTATTTATTTTTTATTAGATAAAAACGAACCAGATATCGAGGATACTTCGATTAGTTGTTGCTCAAGTAAGTCAGTTTTTGTTAAAATAAAATATTCACCTTGATTCAAATTTAGTTTTTATGTAAAACTAAAAACATAACGTTATACATACATACATACATACATGCATACATACATACATACATACATACATAACATGATGTTTGAAATTACTTAAATATAAAAAATAATTTAAAACTTACAAGTATACAATAAGTATTGTAATAACAGATTTCTTTGATACATTCAAGACTAAGAATTGTAAGTAATTTACAATGTCACTATATACACTGTAAACAGAGAATACTTAAATATTTTCGTTTTTCGATGCGGAATAACATATTTTATTGCGCACTCTGATTTCAAATAATTACATAATAAATAATAAATATGGTTAGGTTATTTCCATAGCTTACATTAGAAATTTTAATAGAAGTTTCCCAAAAACTTAGGTAAAAAACCTTTGACAAAAAAAATATTACAAAGTTACATGATTTACAGCCATGAGATATTTTAAAATGTTATTAATTTTTTTTTTTCTTAATTATTAAATTTGATTATTTATTACATTGAATGTGATTAAAATGTGATTAGATAATACACCTTCTCCGTTCAGATTCGTTTTTTAGCATGCAGTTATTTATCATTGAATTCAAATCTAACTCATCCATTACAATGACTTACTCGATAACTACTGCACAGCAGAGTGGTACCCATTGTACACCTTTTTTCTTAATTCCTTTACTTATTGTGGGGAAGTATAATGTAATATTACTTTAAAATACATTTTTTCTATTTATTTCTACTTATAAATCAATTTGTAAATCATAAAATATTCATCTTGGTTCTAATTTAGAATTTATAGAAACTAACTTTTTACTTAATAATTGTAATAATAAATATAGCTAATAATGCTTTTGAGGATGAGGATAGTAAGTAATTGTCTATGTTTGACTGTCCGAGATACTATATACATTTTATTATTTTAAGTGTAGAATGCTTAAATATTTTCGTTTTTTGATATGGAATAAACTGAACTCTGTTTCAAAATAAATAATAAATATGGTATTGTTGGATCAATGACATAATCAAGGAATTAAATGACACAGGAATTTTAAGATACTAAAATATTTAGACACCTACTTAATGACATTTTTATTGTATTCCTTTTCTATGTCTACTTATAATCTATATTTATTTAGAAAGATTAATGCGAACAAAAACCTTTAATAGCCTTACATGCATTTGAGCATCGGCCAACTGCCATTAACGTGCCTATAAATTGTTTAAAGTATTTAATTACACAACTCTAATAAAAAATATTCAATGCACTGAATGATGATTGTAGTATGAATATACAATAATAATAATTTCATATTGTATAATTAATAGTTTAAGAACATTTTAGATATTAATAACTAAAATAAATTCATTTATAATTTACAATCAAACACAAATTATTCTCATAATTAGTTTTTGAAATGTAAGATTTAATTATAGTTGCTAATAATCTCTGTTATTGAAGCTAATAGGTCGGAAAATAAAAATAAATATTTTTGGAGCGACAGTATCAATACACAACGTATTAAAGTCATAGGTACGTGAATTATTATTATAAAATCAGTACATAATACGTATATTCAATTATTAACATAATTCAATCCAAAATAAAAATTAATTAAAGATATAACATAGTCTTAAGGACATTTTATAGAAACAATTCATGCAGAAAAAATTAATTAACATTATCGTACTATCTCAGAATATATTTTTGTATCCACTTGGTCTTAAAATATAGATAGTACATATTATAGGTAATTTTAACAATCAACATTTCTTTGATCATGATATTTTTACTTTATAATATTGTAAGTTACAACTTACAACTATAAAAACAAATCATTTTCGTTAACACTTGAATAATAAGTACCTATAAAATATAATTTGTTGGTAGCAAAACAATATCCTTGCTAATTGTTAACCCCGAGAAATCTATGGGGTATCGAAAGTACTCCTCGATCGACCGTATAGTGAAGCTTATAATAACAATAAACATTAAACATATTATATGTTATTTTAACAGATGAAGAATTACAATCAGATAAAACTAATTTATATGATTGTTTTCGTAAGTTATTAAAAAAATAAATACATTAGTTATAAATGTTTTAATAAATATAATAATAGTATCGTTCTACTACTGTGCTTAATATTCTGAAATAATATTAAAAAATCTATAGGTTAACAGTGGCGGTTACAAGGGGTGCGATCGCACTTATTCTTTTCTTTT